ATGAGAATCCACATAAGTGTATGACTTCCTGTACACTCACTGGTTAACTATCTAACCTACTTTCACATTCACACACAAACTAGCCTTGCATGATACATCAGAAACTGTGTAGAAAAAAACAAGTCATCAAGTGCCATTTCTAAGCCTGAGTTGCTGGAGAGCAAATGTAATCCGTGCGGAGTGGTTTTGTGGTTCACCAGCCTCCTGCATTGCCTGCTCTATCACTCAGCGCAGTCCAGCATGGCCAACTTTAGAGGGTTTACTGGCAGAGCTGAGTTATAAAAGATGGCAAGTGAAGAAGCCTTCCAGGAAAATAGACCTTTCCATAATCTGAATTCATAGCATTAAATAATTACTACACAGCATCTTTGTGATAAAGTCAGCAAAATGCCACAGCATAACAGAAACAAAGTGCAGACTGAACAGGGTAAACTGGTAAAACACACTTTGAGAATAATGTGACCATATTTTCAAAGAAAGTGACACCATTAGGCCAGTGAAACTGAGGGAAATCTCACTTAACATCTCCTCATCTGCTAACCTGCCTAAATGAAGTGTATTTTAAAATGAACTGATTGAAATTGCTTCTGAATAAGGGTGATGTGGAGGCTATACACATAGCTACATCTGTAGCTCTTCCTGACATGCCTATAGAGCTGATGTTTACCTTCTCCAACATATACTGTAAGTACCTATACATGCAGAGTTACAGGTGACATCAACATGAAGCACATTTAAGTATGGGTCTTCTCTTTTTCAGTTAAAAACTGTTTATTGCATGGAGCCTCTGTTGTGTAGATACTGTACATGCTCACTGTGCAGCATTTGTTGCTTTTATACATCCTTGTCTGCACTCTGAACAACAAAAGGACAGTTAACTAGGGAATAGTTTTTCAGAGGAAAAATGTTAGGCTTCATAATAAACTGTATAACTACACAATTATACTACAAACAACCGAACTGCTGATCCAGTATGTCAAAACAGTGGACAGGACGGTTCGTTCATGTGCAGGAACTCAGAGGTTGATCATTGTCCCCCAACGATTATCGTTTTCCCCAATCTCTGAAAAGCCTGCATCAAGTTGGCTAGCAGCCCTCAGCAAGGGGCTTTGGCCAATACTGGGGATTAAAACCTTGCAAATCTATAAATACACGAGCAAACCAAAGTCAGCACCCAGCTAGCTATTGCACTCACCTCTCACTGCTGGATGGCTGCCATGTGTTCTTTTTCCCCTCTATTCTGCTTCTCTCTTGCTTTTACTTTCGGCCTCTGTCTTTCAGCTTCTCAGGCCTCACTGTTCCCTTTGTGTTCCTATTTTACCCTCAAACTCCCTTCTCTCGGTTTGTCACCCTCTCTTGTGTCTCTGCCCTCATCTCTCACTCTATCCCTCTCATACTCTCGCTTGGCAGGACCTCTTAATTGGAAACAAGCTGTGAGAGGGCTTTCAGTTTGAGGTTAAAATTGAATCTGACCTGCCTCCCGCTGTATCTTTTCTTCTCTCCTTTGGCTGTATTACAGGCCTCTACACAGTGGCTGAGTGCAGATGTATGAAAGACAGAGTGTGGTGGAGCAGAAAGTTGACTCTACCCACCGGCTGGAAACAGCAGGGACATGACAGGCAAACAAGACAGACCGAGACATGTGCAAATTTACTCGCAAAACCCAGAAATCTGTACAATATATAATTTGGTGTTTTTAAGTCTTGAACAACATTGATTCATTCTGAAGACATTTTAAGTAAGTTATTCAAGTAGCCAAGAGAAAATGATTAATGACACCTTATGGCTCATGCACACCAAACATGCAGCACACCTCCTGACATGACCTCCATTCACTGCAAGCACTGCCGACAGCTGCAAGTCCATCACACCAAGAGTACAGTAATATTCATCGGAGCGGCGTCGGGTTCAGGAGTCCAGAAAAAGCTCTTCCTTTGGTAGAGGCGTCTTAGCTAACTGCTTGAGTCCCAGTTCCTATCACCACTAAAAGAGACCAAATGAGCCACATGGAGATTTGAGTAATGAAAAACCTTTGCTAGATAAAGGTAAACAATTTCATTTAGTTTCAGAACATTATCCAAGCCACTAAAAAAACAACAGTATAAGGCTGAACTACAAAGTCAGTAAATATAAAGTACAAGCAAAGCATACACTAAAACATCAAGCAACAAAAAACAATCAGTGTTGAATGCAATGCAGTGTCCAGATCAATTTTTCCATTCAGTCAATACATGCCAGTACACAGTAAATCAGCATCCCCATATACATAGCAGGCCAACATCTGGAACATAAAGCCTCAGCTATTACACAAAAATGACATGGCCATTACATGGTAATTATGGTGAGAGGCTACATTCAGTCTTTCACAACTTCCTTGTTGTCAGTGGGAGAGGATAAGAGGGATTTGTGGCACAAAGGGCCACAGACAGGCACATTACTTGCACCCACACAGACCACAGACTGAACTGTCTGGCTGTACAACACCACAGTGCACTCAGTCACTATCAAACACACCACCTTGCAGAGAGAGAAGTCAGTATTACCCAAAAATGGGGGAAATTAGCATTTTCATCAGTTAAATCTGAAGAAATATTTTTAAGCGCTGTGTGTGTGTACCGTTTGTGCCAGCTTTTATACAGTCTATGGTTTGTGTGTGTTGTGTTTATTGTGACATGTACCATTATGGAGGAAAATAAATAATTTAATCAACTAAGCTGTAAAACAGCTGACAGATTAATTAAGAGAAAAATAGTAACTAGAGTGTCCAAATAATTTTTACATTAGCACACTGATTTTTACTTGCATATTTAAGTGAAATGCTCACATCATAAACCCCTATAATGTGTAGTTAATGTTTACAAAATATACAGCTTTCTATAATTAAATGGAATGCTAATTGTGTGATTTATGCTTGTTAAAGTGCTACACCCCTACTGAACATAGTGTAGTCTTGCAATAAAGCTAAGATGACAAGGTCTTTTGAGACAGCCAAAGCCTGTTCCTCTCAATGCTACTTTACAACAGAAGGATTATTTTTCCTTTGGGTTATGGCTCTGATACTGCCCATCTCACTATGTGAAATCACTCTCTGACAGCACTCGGCAGCGAGTAATGAACTGGCAGAAAGTGGCAGATAGCTCATGTCTTAAGAGTGATATGGAGAAGGTGATTCTGCTGAGCCAACACATGAACCTCATAAGCTGATACTTGCACAGTCAGAGACAAACACGAGAATCCTCTCAGGATAAATGCTAAACAAACACATTAGACAACATGATAATAAACACATCAGAACCTGTTTCTTATCAAAAGGAGAGGAAGAAACCATTCATTCTCACTGAAATACAGTTGCTGCATCCATATTTCATACCTGATTCTTACTAAGAAATGGTCTGCCACCCAAACTGAGCAACTGACAATAACACCATAAAGCGTTGACACGGGGGTCAGTCTCAGCACGTACAGTCACGTAGGAAACAGGTTGAGGCCACAGAATTCCTGACTGATGGAGATGGGTGTGTCTGGGAAATGACTGAGCAAACACGGGTCAGAGTGGTTTCCCCCTTACTGGCACCAGTGCTTTGTCCCCACTAATCCATTCCAAAGAGCCATGGTCAAACATCCAGCACTATACATTCACCAGTAACAACACAGCACATTCAACGGGAACATGAAATGAATCCCACTTGTCAAAGTAGGCAGACAGATGCCACAGCATGACTTAAGTGTAGGACTAAGTGGTGGCCACAGAGCAGCTTGAAGGCAATAGGACAGTACAATATTGCCTTCAACAGGGATGGGGACTCTTTACAGAAACAGTATTACTGAGCATCATTCCACCACAAAAGACTGTAGCAATCATGTCTATTTGCTCATAACACTGTTACCTGTGCATGCACAATGGCTGATGGCTGAGTGTGGGGATTTTTACAATGAGAGAGCCTGACAAGCTCATAATACACTGGCAGGCAGAAAGGTGGAAATGTCATGAGCAAGAGAAGCAGATGTATTCATTGCTGAATACAAGGCTGTACAGAAAGATGGGGATATCTGTGGAATTACACTAATCAGTGTTTCCCATATGCTGACTAATTTGTGGCAGGCCACCACAATATCAACAATGACCGCCACATATTTATTTGAGATGGCTGAAGAGAGAGATGCACGTTAGGAGAAGAGGAGGAGGGTAGCAGCCAACGTGAGCTGCCACCACAAGTCGACTAATTCTGTGGGAAGCACAGCTTGTACAGTGGCTTTTGTTGCTGACATTAAAGCAAATCTGCTTATCTGTACCTGGTGATATATAATTCACTAAATAAAGTAATAGGAGTACTATTTACAACTGTCAAATCATCATAGCGCACTAATGGGTTTCTTTTGCTGTTGGGTAAAACTGGTGCGCAAAGTGAAAGAGAATCAAATGTGCGACACCTGGGCTCTTGAAAGCCCTTCATGTTGTGTTTGGAAATATTCTCATCACACCTCTCCATCTCAAATTATGCACATGACAGCACAGATTTATAGATCTTGACCATAATAATAGAGAAGCCTTCATTTATAAAACTCTAGCCTAGTAATAACACAAAAAAATCAACAACATGGAAACAACACTGATAAAACAGATTTTTTTGAGGAAACTGCAAAATACTTAGGCTACAAGTGAAATATGTTGTGATATATATTAATATTAGTTAAGTATACTAGTACTCTGGTAGTAATATACTAGAAATCTACTATTGAGATCCATAGTTACAGAGACCATCCTGAAAACTTTGAGCTCAATTTTAGGAGGACATAGGTGTCCTGCCAAAACCTTCGCAGTCCTGATTTCAGATGGATAATTGTAAGCTCAGCTAAAGAAATGTAAAGTAAAAGGCAGCATACAAACTCAAGGACAAGCTGAAAAGTTAGGGGGGCACCATCTGTGTACTGACTACAAAAACAGTAATAAACCCATACCTATCCAGACCCAATAAATACAGCATCTGTGCAGTACTCACTTGTCATATTCTGCATTGTCTTTATCACAGCGTGCATCTTTGTGCTTCTGCCAGTCCTTCCCATGCTTACAGGTGGTGAGGAGGACCACATCTTCTGAGTTATGAACATGATACAAAGCGTTCCTAGTGTCCGAACCTATTCCGGTTAAGTACCTCTTCCCCTTGAACACAAGCATGTACTTCCTAAAAGGGGGAATAGTGTTATGTTTCAGGTAGCCCCTTTCGCCTCCTGTCCTGGGATGGTCCTTAGAGAACAGAGGTATGGAAATATCAAAGTTGGGCCGAAAGTTCTCAGTGCTGATACTGGCCTTGGCCAACATGGCAAGGCCAATGTCGAAGCCAAGGTCTTCTGTGTAGTCAGGCCAGGTGCCAGAGTACAAGTTGAAGATGATGTGGTTTTTGCCACCATTCCACAGAGGAAGGCTCTGGATTTTTGCTTTTAAGTTGTGCACGTACTGGGGTGAAAGCTGGTCCCTGTCCAAAGTGTCCAAACTCAGGACAAATAGGCAGGCCTGTCCTGGGTCAGGTGTATAGAACCTGGACCCTTCGATAGAGGATAAAATGTTCTGATAACTCTCCGACATCTTTTCCCCTTTCTGCTGGGGGTAGACATAAACTTTAAATCCATTCCTCTCACACAGGGAAAAATCAAAACAGGACTCCATTCTGCAGCGTTTTCCACTGTAAACGCCTGAGTAAGCGTCTCTCTTTTGCCTAGGGGATATGTGCTCATTGTGATCGTCGCTCCGGTCTTGCTCCCAGGAGCTGAAATGCTGAAGATACCCTGGGAAGCGACGCCACCGCGCCCCGGGGTGATAACCGGTGAGGCTGCGCTCATCGCTCCCGTGTGGACCCCGTATGGATAGCGGGACTTGTATCCCCCCAAAACAAAATAAGAGAATAAGACACGCACCGGCGGAGAACAGAATTAAGTACCGTTTTTTGGCCTGCATGTGTCCTACGATCTGAAATAAGATGTCTGTCGATAAACCTAATAAGTCCCCAAGTTTTGGTTTCACCACCTCCTACGGGAACGTTCCGCCATCTTCCCCCGGGCTGCAAAGGTTGTGCGCTCAGGTCTCCCACCTTCTGCTTCAGATGCCTTTCACAAGTCCGGAAACTGATCCAACGCATGTGGGCGATTTATGTTGTTCATTCACGTCGTCTCCTCGTCAATAGTTGTATAGACTGACTGGCAACAGGTTCTCCTATGCAACAAAGTGACCAAATACACTCCAATATGGGTATCTAAAGTGGCACCCTACTTTCCGTTGTGCAACGCTACCTTTACTTTGTCCAAAAATATTACTTTATCGCTGACTATTCCTTTCTAGCTAACAAGAACCAAGCAGTATCTAATAACAAACTGCACAAAATTAGTACAAACCTGAGTCGGTAAACCTGCAGTGTGTGCCTGACTTGTAGCCTGGACAGTTTACTATTGTTCCTATTGGAAACAAGCTACCGAGCAAGCACCGAAGCCTCACGCAGTCAACATGCTGTCTAACACATTGCCATACTTCTTTCATTAAATGCCTCGAAAGTTAAAAGTATATTTGTAACTGCTGGCTAAATTTAGACAGCGAAGGGCTCCGGCCTAGCTAGCTAACTACCTGGCTAGTTTCTGAAAACATTCCCAGTTAGCTTGTTAGCTAAGCGGTCGCAACAAAGTAGCTTTAACGCTGGCTGGAAGTAAAGACAGTCAGCCAGTCTCTCTCCTCCCTATAAAGACACGTTTCTTCATTGGTCCACAACTTATCTGTCGCTCTTCCCACAGAACCAATGGGCTAATTTCTCCAGTCCTGAAAAGTGCTAAAGTGGTGGCTCACACACACAAAAACAAGAGGTGCTGTGCAGACTGCAAGCCAAGCAAAGCCGCACGGCAGTCCCACCAGGACGGCTGCTGACGACAGTGTGACGTTGCCCCGACGGCGCACGATGCGTTACAATTGGTCCTCGTCACATCCAAGCCGGGCGGGACTTCCAGTCCATCTATTCACATCCACAGAGAGCTGAGCAGGAAAGCCAGAGAGTTTTGGCACTGATACAGGTTTGTAACCCGAGGCTTAGGGTTTGCCTATTTTGTGTTTGTCCAGTTAAGTGGGGAACTGATGAGAAGCAGCCTTCTAAAGTTAAATAATACAGTATAGAAGTTAAATATTACAGTATTAAAAAAATACAAAATAGTCTGAGATGAAAGCCCATTTATTAGGACTGCCTCTTCTGTAAAGTTAATTAATGTCCAGTTTTGTGAGCACATTAAGGATTTCTTATGCATGTTGGCTTAAAGATTGACTATAATAGCCAACTGCTGTTTCCAAGGTCAAGGACAAACACTGAAATATTTGAATCATCCATAATGGTTTCACTGTGATTTTGATGACAAAAGGCTAAGTCTAAGCAGTGTGTGTGTGTGTGTGTGTGTGTGTGTGTGTGTGTGTGTGTGTGTGTGTGTGTGTGTGTGTGTGTA